AGTTCAACTCAACTCACCATAATCCCAATTATTTGGGGTTAGCTACATAAGTACATATACTGTCCTTCCATTGCACCTTATCAAGAGCCATGTTTTCTGTCAAACTGATAATCCTTTGATCAAATTATTTACACCTAGAGCTTTTTCATTGTTCAGTTGTTTCTGTAAGAATGCTGTTACTTTGTCGAAAGCTTCTGATATTCTTGTAGTACTTTTTTATCTGATAATTTATTCATTTATATGCCCTTCTTATATGAAAATATACTCCTTTATGCACATGTTTACCTTCTCATCATTTTAGTTTCATGTTTCTCTTAGAAAAGAAGGAACTGATGAGGCTTATACCTCAGAACACCTAAAGGTGCTGGCTCCTGATGTCTCCACACTTCTAAATATTGGTTTACATACACATACAGAAGGATGATAACATTATAGTAAAAAAAAGGGAAAAAAATGAAAGCTAATTGTTTCATGGGCTAGTGGTTGCAGTCAGACTCTGTGGACTCTTAGACATGCCTTTAGGGAAGTGGAAAGTACTGCTAGGGACATAAGTGCTGAATTTAAATGGGTGAGAAGGACTGCAAATGGAATAGCGGATTACCTTGCTAAGTAAGGACCAAGGAGTTATGAGCTAGCATCTGTTCTGGGCTGCTATGTAATACTGAATGTAGTACTTTAGGCAGGCAATCTTTCTTTGTTGCATTAACTATAGTTTTCAATCTTATAATAAAATTTCCCTTTGCTGATAAAAAAAAGAAACAAAAAAAGAAAGGGAAAATCAATATATGTCCTTTGAAAATCCCATTTATTGAAAGCATAGCTTGCTGATTCCCAAGTTGACTCCACTCCTAAGCATGGGGGGCCAAGTCATGGCAGTGACTCCTTTTGCATATGATTCTCTGAGCCAAGGATAAAAACTCCATCAACTCTTTTGACTTTTGGTTGGGTTACATGACTCCTGGCCAAGTCCATTTTCATTGATTCTTACCCATAACCTATTTCACTATTTATATATATTATTTTAAAATGCAAATCTGTTGATAAGAACAGTTCACTAATTAGGCCATATGAAGGCTCCCTGGATCATCACCACCACCACCATCACCATCATTATCGTCATCATCTAAGCCTTATCCCAACTATATAGGGTCAGCTACATGAATCCTGTTTCACCATTTCATTCTGTTTAATGCCATATCCATTGTTAAATTATAACCACTTGAATCATTTTTTACTATTTTGACCCATGTCCTTTTTGGCCTGCCCCTAGCCCTTCTAGCCCCTTCAACTTGCAACAAATCACTTTTTTTTTTTTTTTTTCCGGAAAAGTACGGACAGGCCTAATAGGGATTTCTGATTCCCACTGCAAAGCTATAAACATTCAGAAGGTCCAAAAGCCACACTCTATGCACCCATACCCGCCTGTGAATTGGTATCAATTCCGAGCTGGCACCTACCCCAAGTGTACTTTGAGCCTACAAATTCGGACTCTGGGGTTATCGGTCATTCTCCCTGTTTTTTTTTTTTTTTTTTTTGCAGGTGCTGTTGATTGTCTTCTATGCACACGACAACCCCATCTTACTTTCTTTCATTTTATCACCTATTGGAGCTACTCTTGGGTTTCTTTGAATGACTCCATTTCTGATCCTATCCTTTATAGTTCCTTCAAATGAATGCTCCCTAGATGAGCCACAAACAAATAGTGTGTCCAATCTGGATTGTCCAAATCAAGGTTCAAAATATCGATACACTCAATACGCCAGTATGGGCGTATCGGGCGAATCGATACTGTTTTTTTTTTTTTCTGAAACCGGTTCAGGGGGGCCGGTTTAGGTCTCCACCCCCTGTACCAGTCAGACCCCCGATACACCCACTATAGGGGCATTGGAGGGGTTCCGGAACGATACGTATCGGCCGGTATGGGTCGATACGTGTCGATACTTTGAACCATGGTCCAAATAGAGGATCATTTGTATTGACCACCTGTTGATATTGCCTACTGCACTATCATATACCATACCTTGTATTGGAGCTTTACCCTTCTAGTATAAACCATCTAGAATTATAAATTATAATGTATGATTACAAGAATGTCAAAGCACAACAAATACAAAATTTATTGTCACGTAAGAATAATTCATGAAATTCTAAATTGCAACATGACTTACCAAGTCAACTCCATGACTCTTGAGTTGACTCCTATCTCAACCTTGTTGAGATGAGCCAAAAACACAAGTTTGTGGACTAGTTGAAAGCATATTAGTATATCATATACTTGAATGATTTTTGGTAGGGTTGATCCACAACAGGGCTGTTGAATGGATGGTAGCTGCAAATAAAGGCCATTAGCCAATGTTGGTCCCAGCTATATGGGGGTCTTGGGAGGGGTGGACTGGATACAGACCTAACCTTTTTTTCACAAAGTGTCATCTCTCAGATCCAAACCCACGTTCTCTTGATTTCCAGCCCAAGATTTTACCATTAGATTAAGTAATTATTTTCTTACATTTTTGTGTTTATCCATGTGTATTTGTTCAGAATCTGTTTTACTGCATGAACCCATGATTTCACATTACTAGGTTTCTGAACTAGTGATTATTCTTTTGAATACACAAGGTAAATGCTATAAGACTGAGAATCCAAGATATCTGACAAATCAGTAAAGTTTCACATATAATCCAAGTATCCAACTACCATAGAAGATAGGCTGCTTTGATTAAAAAAATGACAGGCCACTTCTCAAACATGTATAATGTGTATACAGAATGGTTAATTTGCACCCTCTGTTTTGCTTCTAACTTTTTTTTTCTGTCATTCAGTGTAATGTTTGCCCGTTTCTTCTTCTGAACGACAACAAAAATAATGGTAATCAAGGAAACTGAGATTGCCAGGGTAATGTCATGATTGATGATATATAGGGCAAACAGTAATTTGTTTCTTACTATCCACAGTTATATGAAATACTTTGAAATGGTGATTCTCACCTAAACCTGGATTAGACCTTGAAATGGTAATTCTCCCCAGTGACTTGAGTAAATATTTTGAACTGTACATCTAACTTATAGTTTACTTGAGCTGACATTTCAAATGGTTGACCCATATCCCTAAATTTTTCTCTTTCTATTTTTTGTTAATGTAAACGGTAGGAAAGAAGATTATTTATATTATAAATTGTTCCAGAAACAATTTCAGAAAATAAAGAAAAAAATGTTCCACAACAATAAGAAATTAGTCAGAAAAAAATTCAATTCCTAGAAAATCTTTTGAAAAGCTGATCTGGATTCCATAGTCTATATGTAATATGCCTGCATTTACTGAGGTTACGATCATTTGTGTCCCAGTAATCATGCATCGTTGTATGAGCCTAGTTGACATGGTCTGCATATGGCTCAAGAGAAGGCCTTTGAATGTAGAGCTGCAACTAGGGTTCTCATTAAGGCTTATCAGATGGATGATGAGGCGTTGATTGTACCTCTTGCTTATTTGTTCAAATTACTGATTCAATGTGTTCTATTCCATGATAAAACCATGCAATCACCGTTCAAAATTCTTGACCTACTCCAAAGTCTAGTGGCTACCTGTGGGTTGTGAGAATTTTTGTTGGTAAAACCTAACCTCTGTCAAAGTCCTGCAGTTTTGAATAGTTTCTACTGCTTAAAAATTTCCTATGTTGAGCAGAGACCTGAGAACATAAATGAATTTAGGAGATTTATTGGGGTATGTAACATCGAAATTCATGGTTTGCTGGATTGCAGGAATCACAAGCTTTTGATATTGACTACAGCGTTCATACTGAAGGTCAATATGCATTTACTTTCATGCAACAATCATGTTTGGGTCCTCAATATTTTAGTTTTACCTTATCTATACATGCTCTTTCATCCTCTTGCTAAGTTGGTATGACTGAATATTTTTTGTACAGCTCTGCATGGCTAAGCTAATTGTGTGGATGAACTTTGGAGTGCCTGGATCTTCTTGTTATCTCCGATGCTGGAGGTCTCAACAGCATTTTTTTGTAGCATGAAGATGTTGGCTTTGTTCTTTTTTAGTTGTTATTCTTGCATCCTTGAAGACTTAGGTGAATCTTTTTTATTATTTATTTATTTTTGGGTGGGGGGTTGGGGGGGGTCTGAAATGAAGGTGATGGACGTGTATGTTCCTTGCTCAAGTGAAAACATTTTAGGTCGTAATTCTTGTTTTTTTTAATGAGTACGGTGGTAATTCTAGTTATGCATGGCGTGTGATAAAATTCTATGAAAATTCAGAATATTGGGCAAAATTTTCAATTAAGTTTAATTATTTTATTAATTGTCAGTAATTCTATCATAAAATGCACTTATACTATTTTTAATAACATTTCAAAACTTTAGGCAAAACAAATGACTGAAATTCGAAAGTTTCTGTTGAAATAAATCCACCCAAATGTTTAATATAAGCCTTGTGTAAGACCAAAATTTCTCAAAAGTTTCAACTTTCACTGACATTTAAAATCGTGCTTAGGCTAGATATATGTAAGTGAGGCAGTCAAGGCACTGATGATGGTTCGAGGATCCACACCAATGAAACCCTAACTTGGTCCAAGACAATCCAGGCAGATTACCATAACAATTATGATGTATGCTTCTCCAGGAACGGCCTTAGATATTATTCAGACGGTCATAACTTATCACTGGGCATGCATTTCTCAAACTATACCTGCATCTGTCCTGCCATGGACCTGTTCCAGCCAGCCTTTTTTTAAGTTGGGGTACCATGGCAACCCGACTTATAAACGGTTTGGATCTAAGTGACTATTTCTGCAGCCCTATCCAAATTCAACCCGATTCTGATTGACCCACGAGGCCACGACTCATACTCAACCAACGAAATACTCTTTGCTTGCTTGGATTCATTTTTTCACCTAGATGGCATTAGTAAAGCGGAGCATCAACAACTGAACTAATAGCATGTTCTAGTTGGAAGAACCAAAAATAGATCCCAAAAAAGTGACAACTGAGAAATGAAAACAAACAAACAAACTCTCTTGTTCAACTATAATACAGACGAAAACACATATTTACAAAGATCAATAAAGCCATCACAGAAGAAATCCGGTTGCTAATAGTAGGAGATTGAAATTAATTATTCACCTAAGCTAAGACTAACATGCTCAAGTATGTACAACTTTGCCAAACACCCACTTTTTTCACCAAAGGCCAACCTCAAAATCGTTGCAGAAAAACCACCAAACCTATGCAAATTACTTGTTCTTCAGAGCTCAGAGACACCATCGTCGTGCCAGGCCAAAGCTATGTCTTGGAGCTCAGCTTTCATGTCTCTCCACTGGGCTTCCTCAACTTTTGCCCCCTCCCCACTAATGTCTTTCATTTCTACCAAAAACAATGAATCGGTCACTTCCAGCACTTCAACTAACATCACCAACCTTCCCTTCCCCAACCCCACAACTCCACACTTACTTTTCTGAACCACGTACCCCAAATTCTTCCCAATTTCCGTCACCCTCTCCACGATATTCTCTGCCGACGATGCCATCGACGTGAATCTTTTCGTGCTCTTTCTTCCTGCTTCGAAGAGCCCAGACAAATCTAAACCCGACGACAGCGAGATTATATCAAAAGCATTCATCACGGTGCGAACATTCATATTAGTCGTATTAAATTTAGCGTCTTTCGGCAACGCCAAAAGATCTAAATCAAAAGGATTGATGTGCCCATCTGATGGATCGCGAAGCGATTTTTTGAACCAAGCAACCTCCATGAGTGCTGGAATACTGAGCCGAGTCTCTGGATTCGGATCAAGGAGACGGCTTATTATCCACCGAATTGGCTTGGAGAACCACGAAGGGAACTGGTACTCCCTATGGTGGATCTTACGGTACATGACGGCCAGATTGGCGTCATCAAATGGCATGAACCCAGCAAGGAACACGAAGAGAATCACCCCACAAGACCAAGCGTCGGCCTTGGCCCCGTCGTAAGCCTTACGACCAAGCACCTCGGGCGCGGTGTAGGCAGGCGTGCCGCAAGCCGTGTGAAGAAGCCCATCTTTTAGTTGTTCCGGGAGAGCAGAAAGGCCGAAGTCAGAGACCTTGAGGTTCCCTTTGTGGTCTAGTAGGAGATTTTGAGGCTTTACGTCACGATGGGCTATGCCATGGCTGTGGCAGAAGTGGAGAGCCGAGACGAGCTGTTGGAAGTAGTGGCGCGCCACGGGTTCGGTCAGGCGACCTCGCCGGTAGATCTTGGTGAGAAGTTCGCCACCTCTAGCGTACTCCATCACTAGGTAGATCTTGGACTTGGTTGCCATGACTTCGTGAATTTGAATTATGTTCGAATGTCGCAGGCGACGCATTGCCGAAACTTCATGGATGATGCGGGGTTCCATTGCAGTGTTGGCTACTTGGGTTTTCTGAATAACCTTGATGGCCACATCTGTGTTGTCAGCGAGACGCCGAGCGTGGTAGACTTTTGCAAAACTGCCGCGGCCAAGGAGGCGGCCGAGCTTGTACTTGTCAAGCAGTACCTCCCCTGTGGTGCCGGCAGTGGGGGTGGTTGATCTCGGGGTGCTGGGCTCGAGCTCTCCTCCTTGTTCCATGGCTCTTGGTTTCGGTTGAGCTGAGGGCGGCATTGACGCGGCCCAGAATCAGAGCAACCAAACCAGACTGCACTTCACTGCACGAGCCGCCCCTCTTCAGTCTCCCCTTCTTCTCTTCTTCTGGGGTGGAGCCGTGGAGGGGGGAGTCTTAAATCTCTCTCTATAAAAAGGAGGGATATTCGTGTGGGGTTTTGATTACGTGTAGATATAGCATGAGGTTGCTCTGGCATTATTGTCAGATAGGGATCTAGTTAACATCTCTGATGGTCACTTGATCCCAATCAAGAGGTTAAAACTTGAAGCTGTTTTCCTTGTGGATGGGGGCCATTTTTCTGAATCAATTCTGTTCTGTCCTTTTCCGCTCGTTTGTTGAATCTGTCTTTATTCGATCTTTCCTTCTTGGAAACCGTAACCACGAAGCCGCCATATATTTTGTACAAGTCACGATAAATTGCTTATATGTCCTTGGAATTTTATGATATTACAAATTTTGGTCCAGAGAGTTGACTGGTTTAACTGACAGTGGACAATTGTCGATATGGAGGCAGTCAGCCACTGCCAGCATCAGCATGCGTCTCACCTCTCCCAACCTAGACCGGATCTGTTCCTTATATATAGAGCGCCTCACACGCACATCTTATTATATATTGAGAACATCTTTCGTATTTATAAATTATTTTTCACGAAACACCTCCCAAAGAATTTAAAATGTTTTAAATGGTGGAATGTAGCTGTAAAGTTGGTGCGAGACGCTCGATGAAGAGCAGATCTCAATTCCTCCCAAAAATAGAAACTTATTTTAGGACTGTTTTATATTACAAATTTCATCTGAAGGGTCTGATTGGATACGATATTGCAAGATAGGACAAAATGTTTTGAATAATTTGGAGGAATAGTTTTGTAATTTAATACATTTCACCATCTACGCGAATAAGTTACTAGGTTGATAATGGGCGTAAAAACCTAGGCGATTCAGTTAAGTTGTCTTGTTTGTGAACGTTTGTTTTGTGTTGACGGCCTGCGTTGTGCCACGTGTTACTTGGAAGACTCGGTATCTCATTGACTGGGCCCTACTACTAGAAAACGAGGCGAAGTTGCTAGTTTTGTGCCACTTTCGTTTTGAAGTTGACGGCCAACATTGAGCCACGTGTCACTCAGAAGACTCGGTATCTATTTGACCTGGCCCCTACTAGAAATGAAGCAAGCCACGCGTGCTTCAGCCTCGAAAAAAAACATCAACCATCACCCTCCACTACATGACTAACGCCAACCTTCACACTAGAATAGCACCCTCCCCAATCCCTGGACGGGTGATGGACCCCTCAACTCTTCTATAATTCAACTCTCTTCCTTCTCTCCAAACTCCAAAATGTTGAATGAAATGAATTTGCACTTTGGTTCAGTTTTTGCATTTGACATCCTATAAAAATAAAATTTTGAGTTTCTATGTTGAAAGTGATATTAAATTTGTCTTTTTCTTTTTTTAAAAAAAAATATTTGTTTTTAAAATTGAAGCAAAATTCAGATTCAAACTTGGTCAATATAAAAGTGTGTGTTCCCAATGTAAAGAAGGTTCAACAATAATGCTGGAAATACATGATACCTGGAAAACTTATAACCAATCAATCGGCGCCATAAAAGTGGTAACAAATTAGGTGGGTTTTTATCATCGAAGTCATTTCAATATCATATCTTTCCGACATCATAGATTTTTTTTTCAAGTAAAAAAGCTAGATTATTCTAGTTTTGGAATTGGTGTTTATATTCATCACAACCAAGCCTTTGGTAAAAATACAAGATTAAACCAAGTTTGCAATTTCATTAACCATACATATTTGTATTCACATTGAACATATGAATTATGAATCCAATTATAATGCATAAATTGTAAAATAAAACAAAAATTAATCAATCAAGTTAAATACATTACATGTTTAATTATTTACATTTTCATTAATTCATATTTTTTAATATTTTTTAATAATCGCATGAAACACCTCAACAACATTAAAAATGTAAAAATTTAATATTTCACTTTAATCACTGGTTCACTTATTTACTTAATGGTGGTATAATAAATTTTGCTCTGCACATATTTCTACCCTGGTCGGATATATGCACAGATTGTGTAGTGGGCAAATATAAAAATATGCCATTCCATTACTAGACGATCGTCTGTGTAATGATGATATTTTCCCGTCATCTCAAGCATGCTGCTCCACGTGGGACCACAAATGAACGATTAAGAGATACTGATAGCGAAATGAACCAATTACAAGATAGCATTAGATTTCCATGGAATTATTGACAAGGTACATTAAATTATTATCATTGGTCCAATCGAGCCAGTGTAGTGGTTTGATGTGGCGTGTGGGCCATTGCAACGCAAGCTCAGAAGAGAAGAAAGACCTAAAAAATATTAATTTTAAAACTGATTTAACATTTAAACTCCATGTCTTGTCTCATTTAAATCATATTTAAATGTATCGACAAATATATTGATATTTTAATCCTTGAATATAAGAACTTAGAGGCTTAAAACAATGAAAAGAGGTTGGAGCTCAAAATATAATAAGTGATTATCAATAAACAAACTGTTATGGCTGGTCGTGTATTGGTTGCACTCTTAAAACTATTGAGCAATGATTATAGTATATATTAAATAAGTGTGGTAGGTAGTAGATTGTAATTTCTTATTTTCTTGAAACCCCAAAAGTTTACTTGAGGTTGTAATTGTATATTGGCCTTCGTCTTTTAGGTTGTAAAGATTATGGTGGTATATATATTTAGTAAGGGCACTAAGCTAAATATCTTTGACTGGGCCATGAACCACTACTGATCAACTTTTGGATTTCCGTATCTTTATTTCTCTTTTCGTAAGCAATAGTAAGAGGTTGCAACTTGCAACCATCTTTACTTGCAATATAATTATACAATTAAGAATAGGTGGATATCTTAAACCAAAAGCAAGAGTAAGGCAACCTAACAATGGCTGAAGTTAGAGGTCACAACTGAAATTGCGAGACATAATGAAAATATGACTCATCAGTTCTTGTTGTTTATTTGTTTTTCCTTTTTTGAGAAGGGCTCAAACAAGTTGACTCTGGCCACCCTCCAATGAGCTTAGCCTAGGTTGCATTTGGCAAAAAAGGTGGCCATGTTTTGATTAGTCCCATGTGGTCATGTTAATCCAAACTCAACATGAAAAGTTGGGTTGGGTTGAATTCAAGTTTGAGTTAGGGTTAGGGTAGAAAAGTATTTACTTTCGATTGAATTGAATTCAAGTTTGAGTTAGGGTTAGAGTAGAAAAATATTAACCAGATTTAATTTTGGGTTGAATTCGATTGGGTTAGGATTGAGAGCTTGACAAACCTAACTTCATATTTGTATGTATGTATGTCTATGTATAATGACAACAATTTTTAATTTGAAGACTAACGTTGTTTTTTTTAAAACACGATGCCAATAAAACATGTTTTAACCCTCTACTAATATGATCTTTACACCGTGCATTTCATACATGGCAGGTTTCATGAGATCAAGTTGATAGAGGGTTGGAAGTTGGAACGTGTTTTATTAGCAGAAAATCTCAACTCCCATTATTCTGCCATTTTATATATAATAATACTAAAACTGAACCAATAATCAAAACCCTTAGTCTAGCCGAACCCAACCAGAAAATTTCAGATTGGGTTAAGGTTGACTTTAACTCAATATGCACCCTTACTACTCCTATGTCATGCCTTAGGTTAACTACATTTTTTTTCTTTTTGTTTTTCTTTTGGGTGGTTGTGTGTCTGTTGGTGATGCAACATTAGACCCCATGGGTACCAGGTGCTAGTTATATGCTAAACCCTAGCTAGTAGGTTAGTGACAAGATACATATAGGACCCACTCGCACTTAACAAGGAAAGCCTGCCTAGGTTAACTGGATGGTATAGCTAAAATAAATTCAACTTACAATAGTTTGTCCAAATTGTGAATAAACAGCAATCTAACACTTGGTCGTATGTGATGATTTATTCACAGGTTACCTAGCTTGTTCAATCATCTTCTTCAACGCTATTCAAAGGGTAAACTGATAAACTATGCTTAATGCAAGTTTAAGTTAGGTTGGCACCTTCCTAAATGAGCGGCTAGTCTTTTTTATTATAAATCAATAAATTAAGAGTTCCCAAATCCAACAACATACGATCACTAAAGTTGAATATTTTATACCTATGAAAAGGCATTTCTTATTTCTTATTTGATTATTAACATGAATTAAATCTTATTTGATGATAAACATGAAATCATGTTTGCACCCTTTACCAAAATCTACTCATTGACATGGCTATTATGTTCACCCTATAACTGTGTCTAGGGATGCTTAGGCGCGGGTCTATTTTTTAAACTGAACTGGTATTACTGGATTTTAGAAAATCGGTAATTGAAACCAAACTGAAGTTTATTGGTTAATCGGTTGATTGAATTGGTTAATTATCAATTTGGTTCGTCACTTTTTTGGTTTTTTATATTTATAATATATTATAAAAATATATAAATATATAATAAAAATGAAAAAAATATATAAAATGTTATATTTTAAATAATAAATTATATATTATATATTATAAATATATATGTATATTTATATATAATACATATTTATTAATTTATAATAAATAGAAAATAAAAATATATATATATATAATATACATAAAATATATAGAAATATATGTATATTGGTCGGTTCGATTAACCACCAGTTTTTTATATTGATTAACCAAAACCGAACCAGTACCTTCAGTTTTTTGAAAATACTGAACTGACTGATTCGGTTAACCAGATTTTGGGTTCGGTTTCAGTTCGGTTTTGGTCTGTTTTTCAGTTCTTCTTGCTCACCTCTAACTATGTCACATAAGAATTAGAAATTAAATTTCATGCATTTTTTTTTTTTGTGAATGTTTCACTTGTAAATAGATTCTAAGGCAACCTATATTAATTTTCTTTTTTCAGACATAACTTTAAGTGCTTTTTTTTTTGGGGGGGGGGGGGGAATAACATTAAGTGCATCACCCTTTTGTTTTCTAAGGTTCCAAAGAAATTAAATGCTTTTTCAAATTAAGAGCATGCCTAATGCTTATTAATAACAACAACATTAGAAAGTTAGTC